CCATCAGAACAACACCAGGCCACACACATCGATAGTGACTCGCCAGAAGTTCCGGGAGCTTGGTTGGGAAGTTCTTCTGCATCCACCTTATAGTCCGGACCTGGCACCAAGTGATTACCACCTGTTCCTGTCTATGGCAAATGATTTTGCTGGTGAAAAATTTGCCTCAAGAGAAGCTTGTGAAAATCGACTGTCCCAATTTTTTGCCAATAAGGACAAGGGTTTCTATGAGAGAGTCATAATGGAAGTATCTTCAAAATGGCAACAAGTTATCGAACAAAACGGTGCATATTTGATCTAAATCGGATCATTCTAATTATGCTAAATAAAGTCTTCAATTTCATGCAAAAATAATGGATTTCTTTTTATTACACCTTATATTATTGTCCTTCAAACATCCCAGGACCTCCCGGGACATATTCAGGATGATCCTGAGGACGTCTTGTGCTATCTGGGTTATTTCTCGATAAAAGTACAAAAAATATTGATATCATTCAAAAAGCATAAACTTCTCCACACTTGATTTCGTTGCAATTAACGGTTTATACTAATGCAATTAAGGCTCCTGGCCCCGGAGCCGAGAACTCCGAATCGACCGCAGAGCCATAGTTAGCTGTGGTGAGAATCACAACCTTATCCAGTGTAGCAACTACATGATAAATGCGATGAGGTTCTGTTCCATGCTACGACTGGTATGAGTTAAACAAAGACGGACAGCGAATATCTATCTGTCCTTGTCTGACTACTGGCGAGCTAACAATCGCGGCAGCAGACACGAGCCAGCAGCGATCTTCTCGCTTGCGCACACACATACACATATATATATACACATGATTCATTCTCTCACCCGTTCTTCTTTTCGCGCGATGCCTTATCTAGAAAGAAATATGTATGGAAACTTGGGATGACTCGTACCAATCCAAGTATCAGCGGGCACTTATAATAATTGTACTAATGTTTTTCTGAACGTCATATATAATAAAAATATAACAAAATTCTTAATATGATAAAATTTAATTAGGACAACGTATAGGTAACTAA